TAATTAGAAAAGATTCATTATTTGTAAAATTACATGAGCTGCTTGATTCAAATGTTGTGACGAGATTGTTATTTCTACTAATTCATTCTTTTCTCGTCATTGTTAATTTAAGTGATACAAGTCTAAATAAAAATACGCACCATAAAAATATCCGTGCATAAACCGGAAAGTACTTTACAAGGGGAGGGTCACTTCTTATTTTTCCGGTTTTTTTTAATGACTATACGGTAATTTATTACCGGTTCATTAATCATCTTGATCATCATTACCTTAACCAGTAGGTTAGACTCCTATTCTCCTATTTCAAAATATAAAATTACATAATATAATATTCATCATGTATTACGTAATTCATCTTCCGAAAGCTGATCACACGATCACTGATACGTGCATACGTACGTTAATATTTTAACGTTAACACTGAAGCCTCTATTAAATGAAGATCCTCGTTCCCGGCGTTTTTCAATATGCTCTAGCTAATTTTCCGATGAACAATTTACTATTTGTGCGTTGAAGGACCAATGAAATTGATTTGTACGACAATTATGGAAATTATCTCTTACATAGATTAGCTAATTTATTTGAAAATTCAATTTGAATACTTGTCCAAAAAAGTTAATTTGAATACTTGTCCAAAAAAGTTAATTTGTGATTACGAACTTGCACGAAACATTGAAAAATTGGCTGTGCAACAGAAAAAATAAATGTATAAGAACCGTAGTTCAAATCGATATTATTTTGTGCAAAAAATGAAAAAGATGCAATTATTTTATATTTTTGAGCTTAATGAACCTAAAAAAGCGAATGTTGCTGCTGAAGAACCCAAAAATTTGAACGTTGAATGGCCACCTCATTTTGATTTCGAAGCATTATTCAGAAACGCAAAAAGAAAAGAAAGGGCGCCAAATGCATTCATACTTTTTCGTATAAAATATTTGGAGAGTCTTCAGCAAGTTGGCATCAATTATCCAATGCCTATTGTAAGTCGCATGGCTTCTGCAGCTTGGAAACGACAACCAGAATATAAAAAATCCAAATATGAATCCTTATCCTTTGCAGCTAGTCTTCATTGGTCCAAATGGAACCCAAAGCCAAATCAAAGATCCGTTAAAAAATCAGGCAGTCAGAGACGAAGAGCTGATCGTGACATTTACCGAACACCAGCATATGTTGCTATCTTAGATACGGACAACAATCAAATATTTGGAGAAGAATTTAATCCGCTCCATTGAAATATCGGTTTTATGAAAAATTCTTAATTTTTTTTCTTTATTAATATCCTCACTCTGATTAATGATTGATGGATTATGCAATTTACAAACATTTTCACCATACCACATATGTATCTTTTTCTTTATTAATATCCTCACTGTTAATGATTAATGATTGATAGATTATGCAATTTATAAACATTTCACCATACCACATAAGCAGTCAATATTATGATATTTAATATATAATATATCATTTACTTATTTAAAATAGAAAAGTGAGATTTTTCAGTTATTATGCATTTTATTTTACTTAATGTTGGCGGCAAATATGCTTCTTTTAAAGTTACGGGGTCTTTAAGAGAACTAAATTTACGACTCTTAACGTTACTGGTAGTGTAAAATTGTGAAATATTAGTCTATATAATTATTCCAAATAGAAACGAATGAAATTCAACTCTAATCCGAGTTATAATAACTTATCGTTATCGTTATTGTTTTTTGAATAAATCTAGCGTTAGACTCAAAATATGATACATGTAGTCGGTTTATCGATACGTACGTATATTACATGTATATCGATATATCTATATCGATATATCAGGTTAAATTAAATTGTTTTGTACGAGTGTGGGCTTTTTCTTTGTCAGGTAGTACTCGGAAAAATACATGTACGTAGTTTCCCCTCTATGCAGATATAAAATACATGTACTACGTATGTTGTTGCTACGTATATGCTTTAATATTTAGAAAAAGTTGATACTATTAAAACACCAGTTAAATCCGCAAGAATTTTTCTCAAAAAGAATTAATATTTACTTCCATTCACAATACGCATTGTCCTATCTGCGGTTTAAGCCTGAATGATGAATTACTATCTTATCTTTTGATTTTCTTTTTAATTGACATATCATCATTAGTTGATTTTGCTTTTTAATAAAACACTTAATTTATGTTTACTGGACAAATTACTGTATTTCGCTACATAAAGGACCCTCTCCTGTGGACAATTTAAACCTTGATTTTTTCAGTGAAACCAATTATTTTGTCTGCAAAATGAATAAAACAAGATTTACGGTGCAATTTCTTCAAAAAATTTTGTTACTAAATTAATAGCTTCGGATTTAGGTTTACAGTGAAATACGGTACACTAACTCATGATTGAACTCTGGCACCGATACTTGATAAATTGATTCTGGCACCAATAAAATCGGAGCTAATAATTGGAATCAGAACATCAAATAAAAAAATTAACACTAGTGACACCTATAATCAACGTCAAAGCATAACGAGAACGATAAAACAAATTGTGTCACGCACCATATAAGATTACCATTTATGGCAGAAATCATGAAATTTTTCGGTCAAAAAGGCAAGTGTCAAAAGTGATTTGCCCACACCGTTATTGTTGCATTGATTCTGATAGAGAAGAAATAATGATTGGATTCTTTGGAAATATATATTTCCTCCTACACGCCAACTACCTTTTAAAACCTCATTATCTAAGATGATTTTAAAAGGAAAAGAGCTTTTATAATACGATATTGCACGTTTCGTTAATGTGTGCTACAACGTTACTGTATATACTATATTCATCACAACAAAGATAACGATCAAAACATTGAGTCTATGCACTTTTTACACAACTAGGGTAATTTTTATATATACGTAGTCGTTACTTGTTATATTTTGTTGCATTATTCTAATACATGTACACTCGTGGACAAAAGTCTGGAATCGGGCAATGATCGACATACATTTGGTGTGACTTTAATCGTCTACCGCGCGATGAATAA